AGATCTAGAATTAACATTGTGGGTCTTTAGATAGACGCATTAAATTAAAAATTGCTAATTTCATGGGTGAAATGGCATACACACGGTCTCCCTTGCTAGAATTTCAGGGTCTTCTAAGCCTCTCGATTGTTTGTACAAGTCAAGATCACAGCACCTCAGCAGGGAAGCACATACATGCCTTAACCCGTCTATGCACTGCAACATGATATTTTCTGCAGATCAAAACACTCCATACCTGGTTCACATGATAAAAGGAAAACCAAAACATGAGACTACCTTTAAGTATTTCTATAGAAGATAGGATTCTAAAGCATGTAAATAACAGAACAAACCTTTTAACCATTTCCTGCTTCTTCTAACTCACGGCCCGAACCCCAAGATCTGTTAAATTTGGTGCAGCCAAAGCTATATCTGATGTGAAGCCAGTGGTAGTAGCTGAACTCAAACAAGTAGAAGATATATTAAAACCATCTCATTCACAAGTTTTCCGCTGCTAAAGCCCAAAAACAAGGGTAAACACACAATTACTAAACAAGGGAACGTATATGATTCGACCAACGAAAACTTTCTAGCATCAAGAAGAACAGTCCTATACACAAATCCAATCCTAATTTAAAATTTATACAATTTTCCATCGTAAAAGGAGCAAAACCTCCATGATATACGCATCCTAGGAGTACAACTTACACTACCTCACCTCAGCTAAAAACAATCTTCTATTTCCACATACCACGATGTTTTTGGAGTCTTAACATCTAACAGGATTTGAATAGAAACAAACATGCCGAATTTTTCTACCGATTACAACCCACATAGTTAAACAAAATTTCATTTTAGACCATGAAATTGAAACAACAATTATGAATCTTTTTTTCCCAGCTCACCGAACTTACACCCAAATTGGCGTTTTGATTGTTTTTGAAACACATGTCTGAGAAACAATCCGATAAGAACACACATCCGAAAGCGAAGACGAATAAATGTACGAAATTTCGCACTAAATTTCAGCTTAGAAATCACGGAAAGTGGCTCCTGAATCCGCAATTCGTTTCCACAACCACTCACACATCGATAAATCAAAATATTCACAGCAATGAACAGAAACATATGCAATTAAGCTCACAATCCTCGAATCCGAATCCGAGATCCAACGCAACAAACCAAAGCCAATTGAAAGACACAAAATTTAAACAGCAGGAGCTCAGCGATCTGTTTGGCGCCCGAGAAAATCAGAGCAAAAAATTGAAAACGGATTCGGAGAATTGAAGAACAAGTAAAGATTCGATATTTGGAGAATTACATTAAAAAAGATGGAAACTTTACTTTGAGAGAGAGGGGGGAAGGCGTCGCGGTGGCTGAGAAAGCTGTGCGGCGGAGAAGGCGGTGGCTTGCGATCTCCGTGCAACTCGCGGTGGTTGTAGCGAAAGAGGAGTAACAAATGTTAATATGATAGAGAGAAGAAGAGGACGAAGAAGAAAGAGCACGAGTTGGAGTTGTTCAGAAGGTTTTTTATGATGCGGAAATTTATGGAACGACGGCGTTGGATGGCGATCAAATCTTCTCCGTCCAAAATAGGTGTCGTCTCCATGTGACTCAATGATTTATTAATACGTACTTATAAACTTTTTTTTTTTTTATTTTATTATAATAAATTTAATACGTGTCAAATAATAATTGTAATCATAAAGTAACCACACATAATTTGAGGGTAGAATATTTGATTTTGTTTTGATAGGCGGATGGGCAGCTTGCCACCTGCGGATAGTGAATCATCAGGGGTACTTTGTTTGTTGTTTATTTTTGGTTTCTTATTTTTTTTTTAATTTTTATTTGTTTGTGGAAAAAGGAATGTTTGTCTTGGATTGGGGGCAATCATGCAATTTAACTTTCTAAAAAGTCATCAAAACAATTATTTGTAGCAAATTGCCACAACACCTACTAGTTTAATCACCATCATCATAACTTTAAATTAAGACCGTTAAATCTAAAAGAATCCAAGAGCTAATAAGGATTGTAAAATTATTTGTCAAAAGTTTGTTCATCGATCCTAAACACCAATATGCAAGGAGTCCCATTCTCCAAGGATATTTGTGACTCTTCGAGTGTCTCTAAAGAAAATGTCAAATTTTACACAAAAAATTTAAATTTAAAGCTTATGTGACACTTTGATCAATTTTTAAATTTTGTTATGTCAAATTTAAATTGTTATTTATTACATTTTTTTTACTTTTTTAAATTGTAATATGCATGTTTATAACAAAAACTACCAAGAAATATATTTGAAGTTGCTGTCAATCCATATCATGCCATAGGAATTGCCATTTCGGTTGGAGTATACTAATGCTGTATTTTTTTTACTGTTATTGCTTATGTGGATTTTTTTAACTCCTCTTTAAAGATGCTCTTATTTGTATTTGTTTTATATAACATGCTTTTAGATTTTTATGATTTTATTTATATATTTATCTTGAAATTTTTATAAATTTTATGATAATTGTGTTGTCGTGGACTCATGCTAGTTAATATATTGAGTTTGACAACAAAATCAAGTGTTCATTCCTTATTACTCCTTTTTAAAACTTAAATATTCAAAAGTAAAAAATACTTTGACGAAATAATTTGAAAAAAAAAATGTAACAAAAAGATTTTAAAACAAATCAAAACAAAGTGCAATATGTGGTACTTAAGTGACATTTAGGACCCGTTTAGTACTCTACTCAAAAGTTTTCAATATTTTTAAAAATATTTTCTAACACTATCTCTTAAAAACAGCTTTTTATAAGACTCAAAAAAAAGTTTGGTATGACACAAAATTATTTTTGTTGTTGCAATTTTTTTTTAAGAAAAACATAGCTCTTTGCCAGCAACTCCTTCTTAGAGTCGAACGAGGGAGATCGAGATCGAGACCGGAAGAGAAAGGGGAGAGAGCGGAAGAAATGAGATAGAGAGAGAAAGAGGTAAGGGAGAGAGGAAGAGAGAGAGAGAGAGATAGAAGCGATGGGAAGAGAGGGGCGAGAGAGGATAAGGGTGGGTTATAGTTTTGAATTCAGTTTTTTAAAATAATACTACGAACAAAATTTAGGGTTTGGGACTCAAAAACTGTTTTTGAGTTAAAAATAAAAAATTAAATTCAAGTTAAAAGCCAAACACGAGCTCTTAGTTTCAAAGATGTGCACCTTAGAGGATCGATAAAATTAAAGGAGTTTTAATGAAACACTCTTGGTATTGTTCACTTTTAAGACAACACCACATTTTTACATTTCCTGACTACTATTCATTACACATTTATTTGTCATTTTTCATTAAAACTAAAGTTTTTTTGGATTTTTTTTTTTTAGTTTTTCTTAAAATTAAAGGATTATTGCACATCATATTTTCGTTTTTTTCAGTGTGCATATTCAGAGAAATGGATATGAGTGTAGCCATGGAAGAAGAAATTAAACTAAACTGGCATTGGATTGAACTTCAAAGGTCTAAAGGTGATACACAATGCAGTCATTTTCTTGGAAATTATCACTTCCTATATTATTTGTACCTCTTATGCAACCTTTGATTGTGCATAGCTCTCCCTACGTCTTCTCTTCCTTCATTTCTTTGTGCGTGTTGTTTTCCTGCTTTACTTTTTACATATATGGCTCCATAATTCTCTGGTGAAGTGTTAGTAGCAGTGATAAGAGATCACCGTCATGCAGGTGTGATCTGCATTGTCATGCATGCCTCAAGTTTAATCGCAAGGGTCGTGGAGAATAAGTTGACTTTAGATTTTAGAATCAACCTGAAAAATTGTCCGCACGTTACTGCGGGTTTTGAAACCGTAATAAAGGACATGCATAAATAATTTCGACAAAAGACATTCAAATTGTTGATGATGGCCTTGAGCTTTCTCAGACTTACAAGTTCGTGTTGTGAAGCTTAGACATGCATTGGTCTCGCAATTTGGGTTGGAAGAAAAAGAAAGAGTGTTTCTTTCCTACAACTAATGATAAGAGTCTAAAGGAAAATAAAAGGTTTATTTTTAGCAACGCATCTTGAAATTCGATTTTAATCTTATTTTTATTTTGTAATTTAAAAGTCATCATTTTACTTTCTAAAACTTAAAATTCGTTTCATTATGACTTGTAGAGTCTCTCTTCTCCCTTGAACGTAAAAGTTTCTCTTAGAACAGATGTGATATCCACCACCCAATACGATTATACCACATGTGTCAATGAATTTGATTATAAATCTTCGCTATGCGTTAACATTCAACAATCAGAAAATATTGTTTAAAAGAAGAAATTAAGAATTTGATTTTTTTTGGGTTGCTATGCATTGAGTTGCTGTGACATCCCATCTCGAGATTAATCATATTTTATTCTCAATAGTAGTGAAATTATCAAAATACCTTTAAGATGCCACGTAGGCCTTCCATGTGGACCTCAATTTTTTCTTTCATTTTCCACTCTTAGTTTACTATTTTCGAATAATACTCATTTTTACGAACACGTGACCGCAAACAGAACTCAATTCGGAATTATAACAAAAAGTTTCTCACATTCATATTAACATTTGCAACTCCTCTTTCGCTACAACCACCGCGAGTTGCATGGAGATCGCAAGCCACCGCCTTCTCCGCCGCACAGCTTGCTCAGCCACTGCGACGCCTTCCACCACCCCCCCCCTCTCAAAGTAAAGTTTCCATCTTGCCCAGCCACCGTGGGTTGCACGGATAACCAAGAGATGCCGCGTGAATGTGTGGGTCCTCATTGATCCCACGCGAACGAGTGAGCTTTGGCTTGGCTCCACATGGTTGTCGATGTGTGAAATTTCACGTGTGACCCATAAAAATAGGATCTCACATTCGGGGGAATGTTAGAATTCCTCTATCCCACATTGGCCAGAAGGCTTGAGAACAAACCCTTTAAATAGAATTATCCCACTTTAACTAACACCGAAACTTTTTGTGATAAAATCTCATCCTGATGGATTAAACAGTAGGTTAAATGAGAATATTATCAATGTTGTTGGGGTGGACCGTGTACCTGAACCCACCTCTACCTCGTTCTTAAACCCTAAACCCTAACAAAAATAAAATAAAAATCCTTGAACCCCAAAAACCTCGATTTCCTCCTCACTTACACGTTAAACCAGTAGGTCTCCTCCCAACGCAGTTGCAAGAGCCCGCCTTCACCACCGCGAGGCAGAACGTAAGCTCCCAAACTCCGAATTTTCCCGTTTCTGATTTGAATTTGGTATTTTGAGTGTTCCGAACCATGGAAGTGGAATTCTATGCATAATTTGTCAAAACTTAATTTATCAGAGACTGATGATGCAAAGTTCTAGCTGAAAAATTATTGTGGAAAAAATGGTGGAGAAAATTTAATTTCTTTTTCGTTTTTGTAGAATTAAAATTTGTTTGATATGTTCTGTTCATGCTTTGGCATTCTGTTTGACTATAAATTAACGACCTCAGGCTTCATCTCCAACAAACTCTCATCCTCCTCCGGTCGCTTTAACCGAAACCAAGTCTGTACTCGAATTGAGGGATTTTCTGGTGCGAAATTTCCGGTTTTCTTTTTCCTCTCAGCATGGGAAAACAATCAGGCAAGAACCTTGGTAAGTTTTTGTTTGGTTCCTTGCCCATGAACTGAATTAGCATGATTCTTTGTCTCCATTGCATCATTGAAATTGAATTTTTGTTCAATCTGTAGCTTCCTCTTCGTTTCCGTTGCAATACTTACTGGTCAGACATTGTTGTGTTTCCTTAGCAGGATTTGGAAAACGCAAAATGCCCAAGAGGTTCAACACGGGCAAGAAAAGTCGTCGTCTTGAAGAAGAAAATGTTGCACACAGTCCCGTGTCCACTTCCTCAGGTATTTTTACCTTTTTATATTGTTTCTGAAGTCCAAATTCGTGTTAATTTTTACCTTTAGTCTTTGAAGAGAATTGGCTTTTTTTCCCATTTGTATCTGTTGTGAGAGTTTCCACCCAATTGTTAGGGGATCTATATCTGGTTAATGAATTGGAGATATTGATTTAATTGCCACTGTTTTCATATTCACATTCAAGATCATTCTAATACAGGGGAACTACCAAACGAAGAATCTAACGGCATGGTTTCTGAAGAAGAAACGGTTTATAAAGAGCCATCCATGTATGATAAACTGTTAATGACGCTGGGATCATCTAGTAAATCTGTTTCTGCTGCGTATAAGCTGAGGTAAGGGTTTTCTCAAAGTCCTGGGTTTATTTTCAGTTTTTTTAGCGTCTACTTGTATTTGCTAAACTCTAAAAGGTTTTTTTTTTGTCCCCAACATTAAGTGTGCATAAGGCAGTGATTTTTGGGTTGTTTGAGCTTGTTTTGGTTCTTACATGACCTCCAATTATTAGTTTGGTTATGCTCTGTTCTGTGATGTTTAAGGGTTGCATATAAAATTTGGTTTATAAGGTTCTGAGGCGCCTTTAGGAGTCAAGTACTCCTTTCTAGGGTGCACTCTGGGTTTCACATTTGTAATTTCTCCATACGTTGTAGTCTTCTGTACTTAGCAAAAGAAAACAAAGGATTGCGATGTCCTTTCCAATTCATTATGGACTCAATTTTGTTTGTATTGCCGGATTTTGGTTTGATGAGTTATGTCAGCACATTGTGACTAAGAAAAATATAAAGCTCAAAAAAGTTGGATTCACACCTGCGCTACATCCATTTTTAGTTGATAGCAATCTAACTTTGTGCGTTCATTATTAGGCAGTTCAAGAAAGGAAATCTCTTCTCTCAATGTTATTAATTTGAAACTGGTTGATTCATTCAAGGAATTTGCAACTAAAATGTTGTCATCCAATTCTTTTTTGTATAGAAAAAGACAAGAAGAAGGTATAAGTGATTCTGAAAATTCCGAAGATGATGGAAGTGAATCTTCTAGTGACTCAGAGGATGCGGATAACGATGAAGAAGGTAGAACGTTTATGTTTTATATTCAAATAGTAGAAAACAATTTTGTTGTTTCTGCCCTCCTAATTGTTTTGCACACAATACTTGTGCATTTCCTATTGTAACCATACTGGCCTCCTGGATCCCACAACCTTTTTCATTCTTTGTATTTTAAATAAGTGACCAAAAGCCCATAGTTGAGGTTCATATAGTCATGTATCAATGTTGTATGGAAGGCATACATTACTGTAGTGAGCATGAGTGCTTACTTTAGTTTTTATCTCCTATGTGATATTAGATTAAGATGTAGTCTTACTTATTCATAAGCAGAGTCAAATTGATCTTTTGTGTTAGATTGTGCTGCACTCCACATTATTTAATTCATGCTCTATACTTGCATAGGAGTTGATGATGATGACCCTGAAATGGCGGGAATTGAGGAGCATAGTGAAGATTCTGAAAATGAGGATGATCAGGAGACCTCTGCTTTGGATGATGAAGAGACTCATGATTCGGATGCAGAACAGGACCTGGGAACCAGTTCTCAATCTGCTGTTGAACCATCAATGTGCTTGAGGTGCATTTACATGAAATATCTTGTTCATTTGGATTTTACATTTATATTATACAATAACATTATTACTGTATTCCATGTTAAGCTTGATGTAATCACCACTAGCTTTTATGTTTGTATGTCTTCCCATTTTGGCATCTTTTTTAAATCAGATTGTATGCTTATATACACTTTATATTCCCCTATTATATCTTGTATTGTGCAGTTCCTTTGATATACACTGGGGGCACAAATTAACAAAAGCTGAGGTTGAAAATCTGTCAAAAAAGAAGTGGACATACGAGTGGGAGGTGCCTGCTGTTGGGATGACAAAGGGCAACTGGGCAGGAACAGGAGAGTGTTTTACAAAAGTATGTTACCCATTTATGACTTGCACTATATTCATTTTATGTCTGTTTGTAAAAGCTCTTGAAATGATCTCTTTTGCATTGGTTTTGTCCATTGAAGCGCCTTCCAGAGTAAAGGCAACAGAATCCACCTTTGTTCTTCCTTATCTATCATTCCTTCTATTTAATAGTGGGAGTAATGATAGGAGTTGCTCTCTTCACACTTTGGAAGAACCACCTCTTAGAGCAAATCATACTTACTCTTATTGACAAACCACATTTGATTGAAATCTCCACAAACTTAAACCTAAGAATACACTATTCCTCTTATTAGCAAGTTCCTTTGGCCGACCCTTTTTCGTTTTGTTTTTAGGTTTTGCAGAATGTACTATATTTTATGATCCCCATCTTCTCACCACTCATTTCTCTCAAAAAAAATCTCATCAACTTTCTGTTGGAAAGGAGCAGATTGTGGTGTGTTTTGTTCTTAAAAGACAGTTTTAGGGGTTCCTCTTTGCTTTAATTCATCTAAAGTGTGGGGTGGTTATGAATTCATTCTCATGGTCCTCTCATACTTTCTGAAGTGTTATTTAGGCAGAGATGGATCCCTTGTGTTTCACCTTCAGGGTTTTACTTTTTCCTTGTCAATAAATTTTAATGTTTTTGGTAATTTTTTTAAATACATGATCCATGTTGTTCCTTCGCATGCTAAGTATAATATGTATACATTACAGTCCCTTAATTTTTTTTCTTGTTCTGCAGTTTGCACTATTATATTCATAATGTCCCTTAATTTTTTATTTTTTGAGTATTATTTTTTCAGGATGACGACCCCAACTCTTGTTATGGTCTGAAGCAAAAGTTGTATAAGCATTGGTTAGATGTTTATTGCAAATCTGGAGGCAATGATTTTCATTCATCTAGAGAAAGATTGTTCTTCTCCCTGTGTGAGTCCCCAATTTGACTTGCACTGGCTACTTGTTATTCCAATGGCTTGATCTATATCATTAAGTTCTACATGTCCCCACATAATTACTACTATCTTAAATAATCGCTATGATTTTAATTTTTTTAATGGAGCTGGTGGGGTTCAAGCTCCCAACTTTGTTCCAAAAACACACCTCGATAATTGTGCAACTGTGGAATTTTAATGCTAAATATGTCCTTATAAACTTGACATGATTTTATCTGACATTTTCTTATGGAGCTTTTGAACAAAAAAATTAATCTGTACTAAGGTTAAATCGAAATATTGAAAGTGCAAGTTATGATTCATTCCTATTCTTCATTAGTGGAACTTCAGCTTCCATGAGGCTTTATTAATCGTGACCGTATGAAATGTCATATGTACAGTAAGGGATATACAGGAAGAAGTGGACATGATATACTAGCATTAATTATAACTTATTTCTAAATACTTGATTGTTTTTTGTATGGAAAATAATTCTATACATAAATATTCATTTCAATTTTCTTGAGTGGTAAGCTTCTTACAATTTTGATGTGTACACGTTCCTCAGTCAACAGCTATCGGGATATATTGCACTGCAACAAAAAGCCCTTTTATCACAGAGGCTCTACAGAAGACTCAAATGTCATGGATGCATACATTATGCAGTGTGTATGTGCTTGTTCCTATTCCTTGAAAAATATCAATATCTTTATGTTCTATTTTAGAAATTGTCATCTTATAATAATTAATTATATGCAGCTGAATCATGTCTTCAAAACTAGAGATCTTGTAACGAAGAATGATGCAAAAGTGTCCAAGCTTCGAGAAACTGCTAATAATGAAATTCCTACTGATGATAGTTTCATGGACCATGGATTTACTCGTCCTAAGGTATACAAGTGTGATGTTCTTGTTATAAATATACTGGACTTGGATTCCTCATGACAGTGTATATCATTTTTATAACGTCATTCATATAATAGTGTATATCCTTTTTTTGTACAAGCCATGTAGTGTGTATCTTGTTTTATTTGGTGGAGAGGGAGTAGTGTATATCTTGTTTGTGGTCCTATATGGGCACTGTGTTTCAAATTTGGGCACACTTGGTTCGGGGACCATGAACTACTATCTAGTTATTGTAATTGTTGCAATTTGATTTTGTAAACATTGTATGGCTATACTTGTAGATCGTATCATCATTATGCTGCTTATAAAGTCATCTCTTGAATTAAAACGCATATCTCTAGTGTGGAGAAAAGAACATATATCTTCAAATGAGATATAGTAATTTGCATTTATAGTGAAGAGGATTTGCTTTATTTCTTTACCAGGTTTTGATCCTATTGCCAATGGCAAGCATTGCACTCCGTGTTGTTAAGAGGATAATACAACTTACTCCTTCAGCTCACAAGGTATTTCTTTTCATTTTTCTTCTTTTCTTGTGCAAGCTATGCACTGGTTGATCTCCACAAATGTTGTATGTAAAAGTAATATGTGAAGATTTCTCTTGATGGTACTATGTGAGGTAGGTCAGATTTAATCCTTTAGTATGTTTGGACGATGGTTGTGCCCCCGTTTCATGGACTATTTTTACCTTGCTCCCTGCACATTGCTTCTATTTCTACCCTTGTTTAATTTTTCTTATAGAAACTTTCAATTTTATTCATTTATTTATTCAACTTTTGGCATCTCTGATAGTTTTGATTTAGGAGTTATACCCACAAACATGCAATCACTAGAAAATTATGCGGATCAGTTACCCTATAGACATAGAACCTCAGAATTTAGTAATGGATGACTCCCGTTTGTATAGGTTGGAGTATTTTGGGTGCCTTTCACCGTGTTTTGAGGGTGGTTGTCCCCTTGAGTATACACGGAGCCAATGTTTCATTCTACATGGATGTGTATTGTCCGACATATCTCATATGCAGTTCCTCTACCCACAAACACATTTAAACAGATCCTTGATTGTGTAGAAGAATGCAAAGGATACAATTATTAGTCTGTTATTATCTGATGATACGACTTCCAAGGGCATACTTCTTTAATTCCTTATATGTTGATATGTTTAGGGTTGTTGAGATTGTTCTTAGTTGAAGCTACATTGTTACATTCTGTTGCTTGAAAGCTCAATTATCAAGCATTCATCTTGGTAAACTTTGTACACCATATATTAGTTGCTGAAGAAGATTCCAAACTTTATGCTAAATTTCTGAATATGTCTACATCGATATTTCTGAGTTTTACTTGCTTTCTCATAATCACATTTATCTATCAATTAATGAGGGTTTAGTCGAACCATCAAGTCCATGGTTTGCTCCCACGTGGTCTGGGGTCCAATTCCTAGAGGTAGCTGCCTACTATTCGCTATAGGAAACTCCCAAAGATTGTGGGCAGAGAACCAGTTTCAAATTCAAGTCCATGAATGAGTTTGGGAAATTGCTGGGTGTACAACGACAACAAAAGCCTTATCCCACTAAGTGGGGCTTACCTTATTCTTAATACCATATGTTCTCTTTCTCAGGTTAATGTGGAGCACATGGATAGATTTTCTAGAGAGTTCGGAACTGATGACAACGAGGATGAAAAAGAAATAACACCACCTGGCCAGGAAATTCTAAAACCTCACAAGTCTTCAAAGCCTAGTGATTTTCAAGTACTTTTTGGAGGAAATAGCAAGGATGACTTCATGGTTGGCATCAAGTTCACAAAGTAAGTTACTTTAACTTATAACGATGATTACCTATTTGAGACTAGTAAAGACCATCTGGTGAATGGTTGCTCTTATTGTTGCTTTACTAAGGGTATTCTGTAATCTTCCATGCAACGTGAAAAGTTAAAAAAAAAACATATTATATGTGAGATTTAACTTACAAGTATCTTGTGGCCTTTTAAGTAGATAGTATATCTTTGGTAGAACATGTAAGTTTTGAGCCTTAACGTGGGTGGACAATGTGAGCATCAACAGTTGATGTTTGGTTCTGGTGGTGGGTTTTAGAAGAGTTACAGTGTTTGTTGAATAGGTACATTGTTCTTAAAATATATATAAGTGCAAAGCTGTATGTAATTTATGTTTGTGGGTATATAGTACTTAACGTATATATGCATGGTGATATGTTTTTATTATAGTACCTACAATTCCTCTCGTACCAATCAAAGTCCAATTTAACACTAGGCTTCAATGAAAGAAAGGAATGACCTTATTCAATATCAAAAATCTAACTATTTTATATTTGTAGACTTAATACTGAACATTGATTATGCAACGTGAACCATTCAAGAGTCATATCTGTGTAATCTAGTATGGGTACTTCTTAAGTTAGTGCGACATTAGTGGCCAGCAAGGCACATGTCTCTTCCCGTCACTTGAATATTTTACTGAATCATTTTAGAAGCATTCTTCTGTGTGTGCCGAACTATTATGATATTGTTTAGCACCAATTTGTCTGTTAATGGTGTGGATGGCTTCATTGTATCTTGCAAAACTGTAATTGGAATTTTGAGGTTTTAGATCTTTTGGCCCCAGGCCCCCAGTGCAACATAAGCTACATCCTTTAATGGCTACAAAGTCTTTTAAATCATTTTTTTAATTGTGAATCATTAGTTAAAGTAATGAAGGATTATATCAGAATTTTGTGAAGTCATCCGCTTATGATGTTCTAACTTATTATGTTTTTTTTGGTCGATATTCTAACTTATTATGTTGAATGTAGAGTGATCAAAGAGTGCTAAAAGTTATATTCATTTTTGTTTAACAATTTCATGCTTTTTTTTTTCTTGTTCAAAAAATTTACTGGCGGACATTTAAACAGAGACGACATAGATTGAGATTTCAACTCAGTTTTTAATCTTTGCCTTGCAGGAGGAGCATAAAGCTGTACAGTGATTTCTATACCTCAGATATTATAGTTGCTTCTTCAGTTGGTTTGTTGAAAGTAAGTGATCAACTTTATTTTCACTTTCAAAGTTCCTAATCTGATTTTTTTCCACTGGTGAACTGTTATGAAACTACTACTATAAACCAGAATCCGGAAAAAAATTCCATTATTAATCGAATCCTAGAAGTCCATTTTTGTTATATCTTCCAATGTATTTCTTTGAGGCATTGCCTTTTTTTCCTTTGTTACTTTCAATGTAGTTAATTGATAAGTAAGAAGTGCCTATCAATGGTTAATGTAAAGGTTTACATGCACACCCTTGGTCAACTTACTGTTTGTAGATGGATGCAGATTTAGATAAGGAAATTATTGCACTTAGTGATTTAAATAGATGCAGTACAGTGATAATAATTTTAAGAGGCAAAATAAGTACATAAGGTTTTGAATTCTGTATTTAAGGGACACAAGAACTAGCTATGACTTCTTTTAGTCTTAGCATGCTTGGAACAGACGTATTACTTGGACTTTTGTAGTACAGGTGGTTATCTAATTTCTCATAATTATTTGGATATATGCAGGCATGCTTGTCTTCTCAAAAATTACTTTCTTTTATATCAAAGTAGTTAAGATGTGTTAAAATGACACATTTGGCTTTCTTGCCTCTAAATAACAAGAAGAAAACTGAAGGTTCCTGGGAAAGAAACTAAAAAGAATGGATAATTATATAATTGTCTCTAGTTTGTGTAACCAACTTTCCTATTGAAGCCACCAACTCCTTTGCAAGAATCATCTTAAAATGAAATACTTTTTTCTAAATATAGGAGTGTGGACTTTATCTATGTGTTCTAAGGTTGGAGGTTGGTCATTTGTTTACATTTGTGATTGGCTTACACTTCCTTTATATCTATTATAATGAGTCTGGACCTGTATTTTTACAGAAAATTGATGATGCTAAATTAAATAAAGAAAAAGATGTCGACTATCTTTCTTCCATAGAGGTAATATATCTGACCAACCTGTCAGTGTTTGGAAGTACGCTTGTATGCTTATTATGGGGTTTTTTTTCCTATGCTTTGATGGTTCCCTTCCATTGATGGAGACATATGTTCTGATGTGGCAGGTTCTAGTTATTGATCATGCAGATGTTATAACGATGCAGGTAATAGTGTGATCAATTATCTACTTGAAATATATGGTGCTTGCAAAATTTATATCTTCTCTTTCTGATAAAATATCCAGAACTGGGACTTTTTGAAGTCTGTTGTTGAACAATTGAACCACATACCATCTAAGCAGCACGGAACTGATGTCATGCGGATAAGACCGTGGTATGTTATGCTGTCTATCTTTTCAAGTATTATCATTGTTTTGCGCCAGGCATGGCAATTTATCCTTATAGTTTCCTCCCCCACACTATTAGTAACAAAGTGCTTCCTATACAACCTAAATTGTTATGAACATCTCAAGAAGTAGAACTCATTATGAAAATGTTGTATTCCGATTGGAAATTTGATTGTGAAGCTACTGATCTATATCACATGTCATGAAAACCAACTCAACAATTTTTTTCATGGTCAGGTACCTGGATGGATATGCACCTTTCTATAGGCAAACAATACTTCTGAGTTATTATTCAAATCCAGGTAAGATTTCTCCTTTTCTTTGATGGCAAATGTGAAATTTTTTTTCTTTCTTTTATATTGATGTTCACTCGTGATAAAATTCAAAATTATAAGAAAATCAATAATTTATGCATTCCAGTTCTTGATCAGCCTTTAAACCGATGCTTTTTACTGCAGATATAAACAATTTGTTCAACAAGCACTGCAGTAATTACCATGGGAAGGTATGTATAAAAATTAACATTTAGAGCTTGATTATTTGTTCAGTTTGCACATATTTTTGGACTATAAAATATCTTTTATAGCTTTATGTCTTCTCTTATGCTTTTGGGCTCTACTGTCCACTGATCGTACAATGGATTAAATGATATCAATAGAAAATATTAAATTAATTAAAAAAACTATATAAATTAATATAAAATGGCTGTTTGCCAACACAATGCAAAAGGAAAACTCCAATTTCTATTTTCCTTCAAATATTCAGATTGGCAATGCTTATTTTATGGTTCACAAAATGCAAAAATTCTTAAATACTGAGTTTGTGATAACTTTAGGTGAAGCTGGTGCATGAACATAAAGGAGTTCTTCCTAAAGTGGTCCTTCAAGTCCGCCAGGTATAGGCATGAACTTTATTTTGTGTTGATTTGTGGATGGTTTTGTGATATTTTTCACCCACTGAGATGTGTTGATGTTTCTATTAATTTATGTTGCATTAAAACATTAAAAGAAATGTTAAGTGTCCCTCCTCCCATCAATGTGAGACTCATTCTCAACACTTTATTGATTATTGTTTTGACTTCATTCATTGAGAACCTGTTGGGAATATGGTTCACACAACATTGAGACTCTGAAATGTTCTTTTTCGTTTCCTGGTGTCATTTGAATATTTATTATGTTAGGAGAAGTGGCTACCTAGATAAAAAAAAAAAATATATATGTATCGTTGTACTCAGTTTCTTCTTAAAGTGTAAGGAATTAGGTTGATTCCTTAATTATGTTTCAGATGGAATAACTTCCTCAGCTAATTCACTTTGTTACTTTTCAACCTTCCAGATTTATCAGCGGTTTGATGCAGATTCAATAGAACATTTTGATGATGCTCGTTTTGAATATTTTACTACAAAGGTTTGTTCTGTTTTCCAGAGCGTCCTTAATTGCAAGAGACTTTATAGTTTGTTGTTATTAAACAATTATAATTTGATTTCTAAATTGCTATAGTTCGACTTATTAAAGAAGGTCTCTATGACTTGTGGTTAAATACTTTGTTATTAATTTGATAGAACCATCTTGAAGAAGAATTCTTTAGTGCCTGTTTGGTATCCTTCTTGGATCCAATTTTTTGTTTTCAAAAATGATGAATGTAGCTAAATTACTTAATACCATTAGTTTCAATAACAAAAAGTTCAAGAAGGATAGCAAACAACCCCTTAATTTCTTTGAAAGATAAGTTTTAATTTTCAAGTTATAGTTCCTGCAGTTTTTGTGTTGTCAAATCTATGGAATTAAATAATTTTGTGCCAAGCCTTTTAGGAAGATTGGGGCAACTAGCTATAACAACTTGTACTTGAAGTTGGAAGAGAATATGAAAAGTTTATGATATAAATTCAGTCTTTTTCGAAAGAAAAAATATTCCATATCTTAACCCAAATCCTACTCATGTCATTGAACTTGCTGCGTCTTAAGAAATTGAAATAAATACTCTGCGCTTGACTGTTTTAGTTTAGCTTGATTTTGTTTGCATCTTTTTACTCATATTTTGAGATGTTTGGTGTTTTTTCTGTTTTCAGCTCTTCCCAAAGATAAAAGATTCTGTTGAGGTAATTATTTGAGGCCTAATATTTTTAAAATTGCAGTTTTTAATAAATTTTTGTTTAAATTCTCCTTGAATGATCCTTGGAATTTTTCATGATATCTTTACTTGGAAACTTTCGTTCAGGGCGGGATTATGATATTTATCAGTTCTTACTTTGAATATGTTCGAGTTCGGAATTTTTTGAAGTCACAGAGTGCATCCTTCTGTTTACTTCATGAGTAAGAACCTGTCCTATTTATGTTGTGATGATTGTGTGGTCGTAAATGTACTGACGCAGTAAATATTTTGTGGCTCGTTAGATATGCAGAGCAAAGTGATATTTCTCGTGCACGGGTTCGGTTCTTTGAAGGAAAGCGGAAAATAATGCTTTACACTGAGAGATCACATTTTTACCACAGATATAAGGTTCTTTAGACTGCATTGAGCATACTTTTCTTGTCCAAAGGCTGTTGTATTTTGTGTCCTTCGATTTTGGATATTGTTGCTTAATTTGGAGAGTATTTTGCAGAAGTATAAAATCAGTATTTTGAGTCTCGTTGCTGACATACGATTATTTTGTGGTGAATAGATTCGTGGCATTCAGAATTTAATCATATATTCCCTGCCTGAGAGAAAGGATTTTTACCCTGAGGTGAGCGCAATACAAATTGTCGTTCTCTTTAAGAAGCTCAATTGGAGAGCTACCAAATTACAAAATAATAATAATGAAGTGTCTTTGATACTTTATATAATTCATTTTGAGATACAGTCGTATTCTTCTTTTCGTAAACCAAAAGCGGTTTTGATTTAATTGCAGGTTGTTAATATGCTTGATGGGTCCAATGACATGGCATGCACGGTGCTCTTTTCTCAATTTGATCTCCTTCGGGTAATGTTTTGTTCTCTTAAAAGTGTGCTAGATCGTTCTTTGATTATGAGGATGAGATAGGGTAGTTGTGCTAGAAGCTTTGAATGTTTAACAACTTAGTGATCCTTTATAGTAGAAACTGGCACGGTTCTCATCAATTGAATAAAGAAACCGCCTAACATCAGAATTGTGAGAATCTGATCGATATGATGAACTTCGTTCATCTCCTGTTGCCGTTTTACACTGCCTGATGTAGCAAATATGAATTAGATTCTGTATTATGTTTGTTTGTTTGATTATCGGACCAATGAATACTGAAAAACTTGATATGCAAGTGTATTTTTGTTTTTCGCTTATTGCATTTCAGCTCGAGAGAATTGTGGGATTGGCTTCGGCGAAGAGAATGTTGACATCGAAAATGAAAATGTTTTCTTTCTCGTGAAGACCTTGGAAATGCAGAACATGAGACGAGACATCGATGACTTCAATTGGTAAGTAACTCTTGCTCGGAGAACGATAACTATGCTGGTTTTCAAGACCCAAGTATAAACCACGGCCATTGCTCCGGTAGGTTTAACTTTTAGTTCCACCCAATAGTGTTAAAAGAAATCGTGCATTGTACTTTATTTATTTTTTTTTCCTTGACTCGGGTTTTAAAGCGTCAAGACAGGTTGATATGTGTAGGTTGTACAAGGGATCATTTTTTGACAATGAGCAATTGAGAACTTCGGAATTTGTTTTTCAATTGTGTGGTAATATTTTGATAATTGAAGAAAGCTTTGATTGTTCAATACATCAGTCTCTTGACATTAAGAAAGATCCATTACGCCAAAAAAAACATGATGAAATGATCCTTGGTTCAAAAGTACTATATTTGCGTGCAATATGTGCTTTATTATATTGAACATAATGTATTAGACCAAGTATAGCTTTTTCAATCGACTTTTTAGCAAGATATAGCTCAGCTCCAACAATTCGACATTGGAAGGGAGTCGAAGATGTTTTACGATATCTTTGTGGGACAACATACTTGAGCCTACTCTACTCTGAGAAACCTGCACATGACCAGAATCTTGTTGGAGGTGCAGATGTTGGTTTTCTTTGCAATCCGTATAAAGCATGCTCACAAACCGAACACGTGTTCACTTATCATGGCCCTCAATGAAACAAACACTAGATGCTATGTCCTCTACTTGCTCTCCATGAAGCCAACCGTGAATGTTTTTGGTTAAGATCAATGATCCATCGTCTTCGAGATTCATGTGGTTTATCTTAAAACACAAGCGCTCCAACTATTGTTCATGAAGATAATGCAATGGAAAGTCCACCCTTAAGAATCTCAATGAAAAGTCTCACTTTAATTTTCAAAACTTCACATTGAGGCGAAGGTGAAAATAAATAGATTGAATGGTGATTTATGTACGAATTTGCACAGCCGACTAAAAGCCATGACACACGTTTTTTTGGTCAAAATGAAATTTTTTTATTTTTGTGAAATATTTTCCCCGAGTTTTAAGGAAAACTTTATAAGGTGTTTGGAAGTGGTTTGATGATTTATTGAGCAACAAATGTATACTTAGTGGAATATTTAAGCCAAAAACTGAAAGAAGTAAGTGAAAAATACTATAGTGAGGACCAAAACATTGACAAATGGGGTTCCACCCTCTACAATCTCAATGGAAAGTCTCACCTTAATTTTCAAAACTTCATATTTAGGCGAAGGTGAAAATAAATTCATGGAACGGTGATTTATGTACGAATTTGCAAAAATGCAAAAACCAATTTCTTGAAATATTTTTAGTAAGCATTAAGGAAAATTTATAAGGCATTTGGTAACGGATTTGCGATTTAATGAGCTACAAATATATATTTAGTAGGTTATTTAATTCGAAAACTAAAAAAATAAGTGAAAAATATAGTAGTGAGGCCTAAAACATTGTTAAAATAGGGTTCCACTCTCAAGAATATTAACAGAAAGTATTACTTTAATTTTCTAACTTCATGTTGAAGCGAATTTGAAGGTAAATTGTTTGAACGACAATTTATGTACAAATTTGTAAAACTGACTAGAAACCATGAGTGTGTTAAACACACGTTTTTTTTTTCAAAAATGCAAATTTTTTATTTTCGTGAAATATTTTCCGTGAGCATTAAGGAAAATTTTATAAGGCATTTCGAAGCGGATTTACGATTTATTGAGCACCAATTGTATATTTAGTAGAGTATTTAAGTCGAACTAAAAAAATGAAAAATATAGTAGTGAGGCTTAAAACATTGTTAAAATGGGGTTCCACACTCAAGAATATTAACGGAAAGTACTACTTTAATTTTCAAACTTCACGGTGAGGGGAGGGTGAAAATAAATAGTTTGAACGACGATTTATGTACAAATTTATAAAAACTGACTAAAAACCATGAGTTTTAAACCATGTTTTTTTGTCAAAAATGCAAATTTTCTGTTTTCGCGAAATATTTTCCTTGAGCATTAAGGAAAATTTATAAGGCATTTGGAAGCGGATTTAAGATTTATTGAGCAACATATGTATATTTAGTAGACTATTTAAGTCGAAAACTAAAAAAATAAGTGAAACATATAGTATTGAAGCCCAAAAGTTTGTTAAAATTGGATGACTAGTCTAGTTGAACTAATTAAAACATAAGATTCAATATATGGTGCAGTTTCAGTTTCGGTTTCAGTGTGGTTTTGAGAACCCAAAACTAAAACCAAACCGTTCGGTGCGGTCCAATTCGATTCATGTTTCGGTTTCGGTTTTCGGTTCCAAGTGCCCACCCCTAGCTGAAGGTGAAAATAAATAGTGTAACAAATGATTTGTATACAAGTTTGTAAAAATCAACTAAAAACTGTGAGTGTTAACCCACGTTTTTTTTGTCAAAAATGAAATTTTTTTATTTTTGTGAAATATTTTCCATGAGCATTAATGAAAACGCATTATTATTATTTTTAGCACTAAATGTCTATTTAGTAGAACCTTTAACGGCGAAAGCTAAAAAAATAAGTGAAAAATGTAGTCATGAGGCCTAATGTAACAACCCGTCCTTAATTTTATGATTTTATTAATTTTAAATGCGTGATTTGACCAAAATGCCTCTAGAGAGGTGCTTGTCGACTTTCGTTGACCATTATTTCATGACGTGTATGAGCTATTATTTTGCGGTATTCCTGTAGTACTCGACAATACAAACGCATAGGCGCAAGCATAATCAAATTTGGAGCTATGTTGTAGATTTTACGAAACTACAAAGCAGAAGGGCATTTTAGTAAATTTACTATTCTAGATATTCATCCTTATTATTTTATTATTTTCTTATAGGATATATGTGTCTGTGAGACTCTCCTCTCTCAATTGTCCCTGTGTCATCTTCTTCCCATTCTCCTGGACATCTCTCTCTTTAAAACTCTCAAACCCTCTCCTCCTCTCTCTTTTTAAACACTATTTCTCTTTCACTCAAACTATATCTCTCTCCTCTTGGTAAAACTTCACTGAGCTACCACCACACCTTCGCCATTCCGGCGAATTTTAGACCACCACCTCATCTCTCTTTATCACTTGCCACCACCTTAATTCTCTTTGTCACTCGTCATGCACCTAGCTCCCTCAACCCTTTTCATACCTTCATCTTGGCAAGCATAGTACAACCGTGAGGCCGAGATCACCACCATCAACATCGTTATTCTTGTTACCCCGATGAGATCTGTGAGCTTCTCAACCTAGAAACTAAGACTTCGAGCCATGAATGTAACCCAGCCATTGAACCTGCACTGTACAATGGTCGTATCACTATTCATTTCCTTCCCGGACCATGGTAAGCCTCAAGACTTTCACATCCTTTTTATTTCGAAGCCTTATATTGTTTTTCAACCTTAAAATGAGATTTGGGGGTGATATAATGTAGAAAGCATATTCCGGCGAATGATGCAGGCACTTTCAGGACTTTTTTGGGTCAATGTCGGCCACGACTGGGCTTCCAATGGGTATAGTTTTGTTCCCTACATTCCTAGATTTTATTTGGTTCTTAAATCACTGATTTTGGCTGAGAAATGAGCTCAAATGGAGCATTGAAAGTTGGATGAAAACCTGCAAAATTGCATGAACTCACGAGGAAGGCCAGTATAGTCGTACTCGCAGGTGTATAGGTGCCCATAGACACGTGTGGGTGGTCAGCTCGTGGAAGAACCTGAGGTCCCTCCTTAGGTTTCTCGACATGCCGAACCCAAATCCATCATCCGTTTTTCGAAATTCGACCTTTTTAAAATAGTTACTTTATTAGCCGTACTTTGTACGAATATGCGAATTTACTTTAGTACGTTATATATTTACGTAAATGGTTACGTTAGTACATTATATATTTACGTAAATGGTTCGGTAGTGTGGTACCGATCTTTCCCAATTCCATTTTTTTTTCTTTTGCTTTTTGTTTATTCTTTTGAGTTTTTTTGGTACATTACTTAACCACTATTAAATTCAAATATCTTTAAATTTAGGTTTTAAATCGTTGATTACAAGTGTTTAAATGACACACCCCGACCAAAATCAAGGCGTGTTGGCCGTCACGTGAGGGTGACGTAGCCATGTGCACAGTGTGGAAGCAAAATAATAATAAAAGTACGAATAAATAAAACCCAACTACTAAACAATGTTGTTAACGTACAAGTGCAAGCTTAAGTGTGATAAATAATATTAAGAGCACATAAAGCCTAGTGCAGTCTAGAGGAACAAATACTAACTAAACACACCCAATGGTGGTCCCACACTAGTGATAATCTATTAGAGATGCCGTGGATTCCTCGTAAGCCACCAAAAGAGTAATCCAAACTAAAACCTGGAGGGGCGCAAAATAGAAAGTGCGAGTGGGCAAAAACAAAGCTTTTCAAAATCATTTCATTATCAAAAGTTCTAACCCCTCATCGTAAAACCTATATAATTTCCCAGAAAATAGGATGTACACATATATCAAAAACATGTTCAGAAATATGTCATGACGAATGCTTCAACATAAAGTGTAAGTAACCCAGGTAATGTCAATCAATGTAAATAACATGTCAGCCGGAGTCACCTAACCTGAACTGTACGGCTAAATCTAGAGCTCAAATCCACAACTCACTAACTATACATGCACACAAGTAAGAACCACCTAAAGTGGTCTGTACGACAGGACTGGGTGTAAGTAAATATGTTCAAGTGCTACGATCACGTGAAGACTGGGCGAATAATCGCGGGTCACTTATGAGTCGAAACCACTTATAGTGGTCTATACGATAAGACTGTGCACCTAACTTGAATCCAAGGTGAGTGTATGGTGCGGGAGGTGAACATCACGTGAAGGACTGTGCCTTAACTCTGGGCAGGAGCACTAACACTGGGGGTGCAGGTTATGAGCTCTCTAAGCATCTCACATAACTACTACATCATAACCATAAACTATAACTTACCAGACACTTACCTGTGCGTCCGCAGCACCAAACATACATATATGTTACTACTCATGCATAAATAAATATGCAACCAGTATGCATGGCATTTTAAAACATATTAACATTCAATTTCATTTTCTGGGAAAAATCACATGTATATAGGTATATACGAAAAACCAAAAGCCCACTGACTGATATGTGGAAGGGTCGTAACCCCCGAGCCTTGAGCGACTGCGCTCGTCCTCAGGATAGGTCTCACCTATATGCGAAACAACTATAAAAACGTCAATTAAAGCACATAACCAAAACTA